CTATTATGTTGTGGATGGTTCATATGGGTGAGTGTGAGTTCTAAAATAGGTGACCCACAAAGGTTTGGGTAGGTGCGGCTGGATTAAATTTTGGAATATATGTTATAAACCCACCGAATCCACCCAACCGCACACCATCTGCAATCACCCAACACAGCTCACCCACAAGTACATGTTGGTGGGTGCGAGTCATTTTCTTCTTCATCCACCATGTATTGGGTGGGTACAAATCCGCCCAAATCAGCATAAACCCACCCACTGCTCACCCCCTACCAGAAGCCAGCCCACAAACATAAGGCAGACCAAACTAAAGCGGATTGATAACCTTGGTTTTCATTCATTTGCTATACTGAATAGCTAAACGTCGCCCTAATTTTATTATTATCTCCCTAATTTTAAGTATATAATTACAAAATTATCCTTCATTAACTACATAAAAGAATTAACAAAAATAAACCTGCTTTAAAATCCCTAATCCCCCATCTTCGTTAGAGGAAAGCAATTGAACGACCCCTTGCCGGAGTCGGCGCGACCCCCGCACTCCAAACCAACTTCTGATCCCCTGCACTCCAAACGACTTTTTCGTGAACCGAAAGCACCAAGTGACCCCTGTCCTGTCGCCATCGTGGTCATCCACCAGCGCACCCCCATTCCTCTTCTATACCACCGCAAATGCCATCATTTCCCACAAATTCTATAATTAGGATACTAACTTGGATTAATATATTTGTATGCCCCAAAGTTTTAAAAAATTAAACATCCTGGCCAATCTTTTTGATCTATAACATTGGGGTCTCAACTATGCATCAAAGTTACGAAATTTGCCAAACCCAAGATTTGACCGTTATATTAGACAGTCCAACGCATTGATTAACGGTAAATGTGTCACTTCACTGCCAAGTCAGTACATACGACCTAAAAATTTGATTTCTTTCACCTATTACCATTTATCTTTTTCAAAATAAAAACGGGGAGTTCCCTTTTTTTTTTATTAAGGACCCTAATTTTAACGAACAATTTCTTCACCGGTCCTCTTCCAGAGGAGCTTGGCGATTGCTATTCACTAAAGAAGATATCAGCAGCGGATCCAGGGGCCGCCCCCAGGCCACGACCCAGCCCTGATCTGGATCCCGAGCTAGTATAGTGTTTGTAAAATTTTGATTTTGATATTTGTATTAGCGTTTTTTGCGTTATGACCCAACCCTCTTTGCCTTTGTTCAAATGTCGCCCAGTGCTCTACCCTTTCCTGTATCCGCCGCTGGATGATATGTAAGTTTTAACGCAGCAGCAAGTTCGTCTTTGTGAAAGAAAAAGAGGGTGGTTATTGTTCGGGACAAACTTCGCTCCGAGGCTGTTAATATTTTCAGCTTCTCTGGAGAAACACAAAGTAGGGGAAAGAGAATGAACTAGAACAAAGCAAAAAAATAAAAATAAAAAAATTCCAGCACTACTCGCATTTTCTTTTACATGGGAGTACATCCAAGATCGTGAATAACCTCCTCAGCGGACAGATACCCGCTGGCATCTTCAGTTCCTATGCCGTCACGTCCTGGAATTTAGCAACAACTACTTCTCCAGCAAACTTCCATCTGAAATGTCCGCCCCGCAGCTATAGGTGTCAATTGGGCGGGTTCCGATCGGGTTCAATTGGATTGTGGGTTAGTCGGGTTGCGGGTTTACCAGTTCGGGTTCAATCGGGTTTGGGTTCAATTGGGTTGCGGGTTCGTCGGGTTTTGGGTTGGGCGTGTTGTGGGTGGATCGGGTTGCGGGTTGTTCGGGACAACGCATTGAGTTACTTACTCCTTACTCGCTACCAACTTACAAATTTTATTACCCTAATTTAAAATATTTTTAACCAACTTATTTCTACCTCATATATATACTTAATTTAAAAAAAACTAGTCAAAATGTTGAATCAATTTGTATGATTTGCAAACTTGGCATGCAACTAATCATAATTGGTAAAGTGCACTAGATAATAGTAATGGCGATACCAACATTTGCAAACAATAGACACTATTAGAAAACCAAACAAAATTCCACTCTAAAAACAAAGAAGAAAAACAAATATTCTTATCTCAACATTTTTAGGCGGCAATATAGATTAATCCAAACGAAAATTGGGCAGCAATGTAAATCAATCCAAACGAAAATTTGGCGGCCTTTTGGAGCGGGAATGAAGAAGTTGTGCACAATATATATCAAGGAAAAAGAAATTTGGGCGGCAATGCAACGGGAAGCAAAATTGAGTAACAAAATATGGCATGAATTATATATTTAATAAATTACAAGTTCAATTCTCAATGAAGTATAAACATTTTGTTTAACAAAAATAATATATGAATCAAGGTTCATGGAATATTTTTGCAAGTCGTTGTCAATCAATAATCCTAATTTATATCCATATGCAAAATCTAGACAAAACACTAATATTATAAACAACAATTTGTGAGAGATGGAAATCAGCCCTACTATTAAAGAAATTGAAACGTTAGTAGGTCGAATTGGGGGAATTTTCCCTCATTAGATTTTCATTTTCGTAGAGACAAATTGTAGAGGGAAAGCAACATGAAAAGAGCGAAAAGAGGGGAGCGAAACATTGGAGAAGTGAAAAGTTGGGATGAAGATATCAAAATGAGAAGGGGGAAGTTCCCACCTAAATGAAAATGAGGTGCGAGAATTAGCGAGTAAGATTAAGTTTCCAACTTAAAAGTAAAATAATATGCATTTGAGATAGGATAACTCTTTACATGTTATCAAATATACTATATCAAATTAGTCATGCCTAAAAGCTATAGTAAGATTTGTTATAGAGTGTAGACAATATTTTAGTCACTAAATGTTACACTTCAAAATCATCATGTACACATTGTGATAATCAAATCGATAATTAATTAAACTCGTAAACCATCATGTGTAAACATTGTGATAAGTTTTCTCTCTTCTTTCTCTTAAAAAAATGAAAATACAAAAATTTTCCCTAATTTATCTTTCCATAAATTAAAAAACATCAAAATTTCCCACCCTTTTCTCTTCCTATAAATCACAACCACCAAAACTTGAAGCACCAAATTTCCCGTTTTTTTTCCTCAAAAATTTGAAAACATCAAAATTTCTCACTTTTTTCTCTTTCTATAAACCAAAGCACCAAAATTCCATTTTCTTTTTTTCCCCCAAAATTTGAAGCACCAAATTTCCTTCTTCTTTTTTCTTCAAAAAGTTGAAAACACGAATATTTCCACTTCTTTGTCTTCCTATAAACCAAAGCATCAAAACTCCTCCTTATTTCTTTCTCTTCTTTCTTTTATTAAAAATACATAATTTCAACTCAATAGCATTTTTTGAACTTTCATTTATAAAATAAAAAAATAATTTTATTTTGTCTTACAACAAACAAACTCCATTTTGAAATTTGATATAATATATAATATAGTAATTATTCGGGTCAATAGGGCGGGATACTGTTTAGTCGGGTTCGGGCCAATTGGGTTTCGGGTCAATTGGGTTACAGGTTGCGGGTCAATCGGGTTCGGGTTAATCTGATTGTGGTTTACTCGGGTTACGGGTTAATCAAGTCACGGGTCAATCGGGTTGCAGGTCGGGCGGGTTGCGGGTCATTGACTTTTAGTCAATTCAGATTGCGGATCGGGTTAGTCGGGTCAAATTAGTCGACCAGGTTCTTTTTTGACACCTATACCCGCAGCTCTGCCTTCTCACGGTGAACAATAATCGGACTGAAGGCAGAATCCCCCTACCATTGGAAACTTGGCGAGTTTGCAGAATCATACCTTCTCCACAAAAAACTCACGACCTCAGGTAGCAGTCTCCACCTCCTCCTTTACATCACCAACAATCCCGACCACCTTTACACCTAATCGGGTTGCGCTCGTCGGAGCAGGAGGACTGGTGGTGGGGCTATGTGACGAGGAAGACGAAACAGATAGAGAGAGAATAGAATAGAATAAAATAGAGGGGGAGAGATAGAGAGGGGTTGGGTCACGGGTTGGGGTTATATTACGTGGCGGGTTGGATTTACATGTTTTAAGGTTAAATAAGGTCTACTAAGCTATTCTCAGCAATTAACTGACGGTCTTAACGGAGGTTAACGAGGACTAATGGTTAGTGACCAAACTAACAATCAGTGATCAAACTTGGATTGTGAAACTAATTTGAGTGACTACGGATACAATAAATTAATGTTAGTGCCAAACGTTAACTTTTTAAGTAGTTTGATTGACCAAACTTGCAATTTACACTTTTTTTTTTCAACACCTTATTACATTAGAAAATAAAAAAGTGATACATAATTTGGACCAAGGTCCTGGAAGTCTGAGAAAAATGAAGAACCGGAAAAACATTAAAAATTACCCAAACAACGCTGTAAAAGTCCACACACAACAAATATATCAGGTAACAAAGAAAAAGAACCCAACATACAGTGCCCAAAAACAAACCGCCAGAACCTACAAAGCCAGCCCAGCAGCCAACCAAACCAACCCACAAACAGAAGGCAGACCAAACTAAGCGGGTCGATAACCTTGGTTTTCACTCATTTGGTATAAAACCCTTGGAGACTGCGATTCTCCCGCTGGGTTTTAATAGTTGCGCGAGCAAAACATCGCAGCTACCGATCTGTGCTCCTACATAGGGACATTAACAGGCAGTCCAAATTGAAATTTACTTTTCCCCCTTTTTAGTTCCAACGGTCGACTGTGTTGTGAGGAAGAAGAAGGGTTCAGCGTCGTCGTTTTGCTCCTGTCCATTTACTTCGTTAAACGCCACCGTTTGATGTTTCTCGTTTTGTTCTTTCTTTCTGCACAAGCTGTACTTTGTTTCCCAACCAAGCTACCAAACAATATGTAAGGAGCTGGTTTGTCTTCTTCCTTTGATCTGCCTATAAAGGCTGGAGATGAATGAAAGAGAAGCAAGTTTAAGGGTTTGCCATATCAAATTTGTTGTTAGACATAATCCGCATCCAGAAAAAGCACCGTAGATCAAGGATGTCTATCCAAAACCCTAATAAGAAGATTCGCAGCGAAGGAAAACCGGACCAGCAACAAACTGACGCCGTCGACCGATTGAGCAGTCTTCCCGACCACGTTCTTCACCACCTCCTCTCCTTCATAGTCGAAAGCCGATTCTCCGTCCAAACCTCCGTCCTCTCCAGGAGATGGAGATCCCTGTGGAAGCACGTTCCCCGGCTCACCCTCCGCGACAATTTCTCCACCCTTGCTTCAACTTTCGCCAGGTATGTGGACGCACTCTTGTCCGCCCGCCCTGACGGCAGCAACGTCGACGAGATAAACTACTGCGACTTAGAATTCTCGTGGAACACGGAGCCGCTCCACAAGGTCATACAATTTGCTGCTTCTCGCCGTTGTCGAGAGTTGTCTGTTACTGCAGTCACAGATCTCCAACCCTATTTCCTTGCCCCCTTGGCTGATAATAGCAATCTCACAACGCTAGAGTTGAGGGCCGCACGTTTGGGGACGGGATTCGGTGGTTTCAGCTCGCTGAGGGTTTTGCATTTGGATGAGGTCAGTCTGCCTTGTAGCAGTGCCGCTGATCTCGATCTTTTCGTTGGGTTCCCCAGCTTGGAGAAGTTGGTAGTGGCTAACTGTGTGTTTAGCCGTAAGCCGGATGATCCTCCTTGTTGCTTCAAGGTCTCCGGTCCCCGGCTCGCCCATCTCCTGATTGTCGAGCTTTCTTGTGCCAAGGTTGAAATATTTGCCCCAAACCTCAAATTCCTAAATATCACCGAGGGTATGGAATGTTCCCCAATTTTGTACCAGTTAACCCTCCCTATTTCCCTTGGTCATTATTATGTACATGATAACGGCCGTGTTGAAGGAGAGAACAAGGAAAGAACGAAGGCGCTGCTGCAGGATGTGAGTTCTTTGACTTTGATGCGCATCTCGGATTCTCTGGAGGTGTTGAGATTGATGTTCTTGTGCTTGTTACTTTACTGGATTAATTTGTGTTCTTGGCCTACTCTGTGCAGCTGTTGAGCTGCAATGGGGAGTTTCTGCAGCATCGATCTGATTCTCCCTTGACCGGATTAAAATTTTTGAAAGTGATGTCACCGTGCTTTCCTGAGTTTCGGTATGTGATATCTCACGTCATTTACTTCATGAAAGGATCTCCCCGTTATGGACCAGAAACTATTGAGTTTGTCTAGGTAATTCACAAAATTCGCTTTCTCCTACTCTTAATTGTATCGGTTAAGTAGACACCTTTCCCTTCCTTCTCATTTCACATCGTCCATTTATATATGATGAGGATTATCTTGTGTTTATTTATGTTAGCTGAAGTAGTGATCTTTCGGAATTATTCTTAAGGAATCCAGATCTCTAGATATGTGTGGTTACTTCCGCCCTGTGCATTTCGCTCACCCATTAAGCATGTCACCTCTACTATATTGCTTTCTTCATTTTTGCTGGTGCTTGACTCACCTTCTTGTTATTTGTTTTGGAACCAACAATCTCTTTGGCCGTGGTTATCTGAAATCTGCAAAAGGTAGGGAAAGGAATGTGAATTACTCAGTTGATCAACCTATTTCACATAGAAAAAAGCTAAGTGAAGAAGAAGAATAGTCGGTACTTTCATTCATACAAAAGTCGTTGATCTTCCCTTCCTCCTTGATTTTAGATAGTGGGAGGGAGAGCACATCCATGACAAGCAAAAAAAAAAAAAAAGACCCAAAAAGTGTGGTTCCCCTTTTGAGTTGAGAAGTACTCTTTGGCTTCTCCGTTAATGATTGTGGAGATCACCGGAGAACACATGGTTCTGTTCTGTGTATCCATTTCTGCCATCGCAAAGGAAAACCCAAACTCTGAATAAACCGTTTCAACTTATATTGTCGAAAGCTTTCTCGAAACATTAACCCCAATTTTATATTTTTTTTGAGTCGGTTGTCTACTAACTTGAAGGCAATGAGTCCCACATCTCAAAACTTTCTCCCTTACACTGAAGCATGCTAATTTCGAGACACCAATTCCTAAGTATATGAGATAAAACTTTGCTAATCAATTTGTTAACTTTCCATCAAACTAATAGGCCTCAGATATTTAATTAATTCCTTTGACAAGCAGAGGAATGAATGACATGCACATCTCGGAAGGCTGCCCGAAGAATTAAACTCAATGGACACGTTCACTACTTCCCCTCTAACCCACGTATAAAATTCCAACGAGATATCGTGTCCTGGGGCTTCCCCCTATCACTCTCGCTCGCTGAGGCTCTTCTAAATTTTGACCTCAGTGAAATTCTGCGTGAGCAGGTTAGGTTACCCTCTTTTTCATTAAGTTCCACTCAACATATTGACTCAGAAGTAGCGATGGCAATGGGTCGGGTTGGGGCGGGTTTTGTCAAACCCAAACCCATGGGTTTATCCGCCAAAAAAACCCGGGGTAAAATCCGCTGGGTTTGAAAAACTCAAACCCAACCCAACCCGTTGGGTATCCGCGGGTTCATGGGTACCCGTGGGTTTTTGTGGTAAAAAATTTACAATAACAAGTTTCTTTCAAAATAAAAGTTTAACATCAATTTTCTCATACAAATTATTCATACAAAAAACACCAATATAGAGCATACAAACAAACCGCAAATGATCAATACAAATTGTTCAAAATTAAAGATAAACATCTATAAACAATAATATTAATTGAAAGCTTCTTCCTCGTCAACTAAGTTTATTCACTCTCCACTTCATAATATCAACTTCATTCTAAACAATTAGAAAGAACAAATTATACATGTCTCCACAAACATAAAGAATATTAGTTGTTTAAGAAAATATTATTTAGAATATTAAATATACAAGGAAAGTAATTATATGTGTGTGGGCGGGTACCCATGGGGCGGGTTTACCTAAACCCAAACCCAACCCGACCCGATGAATAGTGTAGCGGGTTTAAACCCGAACCCGGCCCAACACGGGTTTTACCCGTGTTGACCAGGTTGGGTCGGGTGGGTACCCGTGGGTTCGGGTTTTGTTGCCATCCCTACTCAGAAGGGACCTCGATCAGCGGAACTCTTGTCTTTGAGCTGTTTCCGAGCTACCTGCTTGGATGTTAGCATCAAGTTCTTCTAGTGATGAGCCCTGCCCTGGTGTTAATTTGTTGGTTTTCTTTTCTTTTTTTGGTGTCTGGATTTTTGAACGATCTCATGTTTTTTTACCGGTTTCGGTTTCTTTCCTTCGTGGCACTAGCCTTTGGGCTAGTTTCCGTCCCTCTTTTCTGGTGTTTTTACTCACTCTCACTGCTTTGTGGAGTGCAGCCTCTATATCTCCTCTCTTTTTATTAATAAAGTTCATCATCATTATAAGAAAACCAACCATTTCCTTAAAAAGATTCTCATAGAAGCAATCAATTCCCCTTTCCAACTCTTCTTTGCCTTCCACCACTTCCCCATTGATTTTAATACTTCGATCAGATTAAGCTTTCTTTTATAGTTTGCCGTTTTGGGAAAGAGATGTGTTCCTATAACCTTTCTTGAGCCACAATTCCTTCGACTTCTATCTCCATGATTTTACCTGCACAAACAGCACCCTAGCACTCTTTGGCATCCATTTCTCTTTCAGTGAGAATCCTAGACTCATCAATAAGCTCCATGTCTCTAATTTTCCCAAGCAACTCTTCAATCTATGCCCCAATGTTACCAAAACCTCTTTATTCCAAATTTTGATTTTATACGTCAAATCTTGTTGTCTTCTAATACATTGAAGGATATCTCCCCATCCAAGCACCGAAGTCTTGCACCAATCAGTCAAACCCCTATAAAATCTCTCATCCTCCAGTCACATATTTTCAAATCTCTAAAGCCTTTTGATTCTCCCAATTCCCTCCACCATTTGATAAAGAGAGGGTTGTGATCGGACTTCACACGCTCCAGCGTACACTGCATGCAATCGGGAAAAAGGGAATCGAAAGCGGGCGATACGAACACTCAAACGAAGTAGGAGAGAGAATCATGACATTTTCCTATGCTCGCACCTAATTGTAATTCCAGCAAAGGACACGTAAAAAGGGAATAGATTGTGAGGAAGAAAACAAAGACAAGGATAATTGAATTCCTCCAATTGGTAGTAGTACGAAATAATCTTCCTCTAGCCAAATGGGCTTAACCTGAATGAAGCCCAAAACCAAACTAATGAATTAAAAAGAAAGAGGACTAGGCTTTAGAAAAGGAAGACAAAAAGCCTTAAATTGTCTTGTCCCAGCTAATTGATTTTTATAAATCAACTGGCCCAGAATGAGATTTTCAGACTAAAAATCACAATATGGAGAGAAACAGAGCAAAAGGGAAAATAGTATACTTGGCAAATTATAACTCGACTCGTTGATCCAATCCGAAACCGCTTAAAAATTAGAAATTTTTGTAACTCGAAATTCGAATGATCCGAACCCGATAACCCGTGATTTTTTGGGTCGGGTTGGGTGAGTTAGCGGGTCGACCCGTTAGACCTGTTCCATTTCATATATCACTACCAAAATATGATAAAATCACTCATAAATTGGTGAGTTGTTTTAAAAAATTACAAGGATTTGAATGATATGTTTGGAGTTTAAGGATAATCAAATATCATGTGTTTGTTGTAGTAGTATTACTCTTGTTATTTTTTTTGAAGATTTGCGTAATTTATATTTCATTTCATTAGCGTGGGAGGATTTGAGAATAAGTTAATTGACATGTGTTAGGTAAACTATTATAACGCATATGTGAAAATTTGTGTTCTTAAGAAAATATGAAGCATGTTTTATATTGTTTCTGAGGACGCTCGTAACCCGACCCAAAACCGAATGGGTTGGATCAATATTTGGCCCGAAATCAGCCAACCAAACATGACCAGACCCGTAACCGAAGTTCTCAACCCGAACTTACGCAACCCGACCCGATTGCCATGTCTAGAAAATAGAGTAGTAACAGAATTGAACGAACAAACCTAAAAGATAACTAGCTTTGTTCCCGGCCGATGGCCGGGTAAATATATTCAATAATTAGTTAATATAATATTTAAATTATTTTCAATTTATTAATATTTTATGTTGATTTTAGTAATTAATTATAATTATTTATTTTTTAAGACATAAAATATAATTTAAGATTCACCGAGTTTAACTAACTTTTTATTTGATATTGTTTTTTTTACAGAGTGAAAATATTATGCATAAGAAGTTAAGTGCTAAATATATATGTTAATACGATAGTACCAATCATGTCGTGATTAATATCGTTAATGGACTTTATCACAATCAATGTAGTCAAAATTGCGCTTTAAAATTTAAAAAAATTACGATTTTACGTTTCTAGGTCACTAAAACGCTTCTACACAAAATCTCAGTTTTTACAACTTATATAGTTAAAACTCCGCTTAAAAACTTATGATTTTATGCTTCTAGATCACCAAAACATTTCTATGTAGAAACTCGCTTTTGACTACACCGATCACAATATATTTGTGATTAATGTTAGTGTTGTGGTATATGATCCAAGATTGAACCTCTCCCAACAACTCGAGTTATTGGGATCAACTGGTTCTTGACATGATATCAGAGCCTTCCGTGACCGAGTGGTCTTGTGTTCGATTCCCGATGACCCCCATTTGTTAAGCACATGGCATTCTTGTCTTCAGACCTGTGCAAACTTCAAGCCCTTGTGAGTGGCTTTCGTTTGAGGGGGCATGTTAGTGTTGTAGTATATGATCCACGATTGAACCTCTCCCAACAACTCGAGTTATTGGGATCAACTGGTTCTTGACAATTAATAGCATCAAATAGAATTAATTTATAATTTACATTGTTACCTAACTTAATGAACTATAGATTAAGATTTGGAGTTTATGGGTTCAAATCCTACTAATAACTAGTTATATATATTTTTTTATTTTTTATTGTAGCAAAACATATAAAAAAATGATAAAATGACGTGATCATAAGGCTAGCGTGGATGATAAGAATTGAGCAAATATGAAATCAGAAAGTCTTATTTGATTCGAATTTGATAAAATAAATATTCTATTAATTTTTTCGTACCTAAAATTCAGAGCATTTTAAAATACTTTTAACTTTTAAGCACCCTCGTCACACAAACATTCATAAATGAAATGACCAAGAACGCGTGCCAAAGTGGGGCTGGATGTCAAGTTGGCGCTTCCACAATCTGTAACTGCTGGTCATG